AAGAGGCCAAAAAAAAAAAAAAAAAAAAAAAAGGATTACTGACCATTAGCGGACAACAATAGGTTTAAGCATGGAAATTCTTCAAAACCAGAGTAAGGCTTTACTCAATTTAGGGATAATATAAGAATTGCTTTCATTAAAAAAAATCATATTGAAACTATATAACCTTCAAAGGAATTCTTTACATGTTAATAGACTGAACAGACAAAAAAGCTGATTACTATAAAGATAAATATTGTACGTCGGTTTTCATTTTTGTGTTAGTTGAAAAATAAAAGTTTTCAAAATATGTAAAATAAGTTGAAGAAATAGTTCACCCAAGAACAGACAGCAGTAGCTATTCAAATCTCATCTGTACTTGTACATTAAAATGTATTATACAAGGTTTGACATAGTAACGGAAGACTTAACAAATATGAATATGCACAAATAAAATTTGAAAACCTGACAAAACATATTTACATATTTAAGGACAACTTAAATATTTTTATAAATATCTTATTTTGTGTTTTGTGGAAGAAAGTCAGTCATACAAGACATTTTTGGGTGAACTATATCTTTAACTGCTGTGATTCGGTTTAAATATCATTACACCCCTAATAAATATATTAACATCAGTAAAATCTCACACTTGTAGATTTGGACATCTGACATGTGCTTTTGTACCTGTCCCTCTCAGGAGCCCTGGTAGTTGGCCTGGAAGCGTGCCGTCTCCTCATAGATGAGCTCTTTCAGCTTCTCTTTAGGAAGGTCGTCCAGCTCCATGTTGAAAGTGAAAGGCTCCTCAGCCACCGGCTGAATTTGTAAACAATGCGAAATGCTGTAAGGCTTAACTAACCGATATGGGATTGTACAGATGACAGACTTAAGGGGTGGGAGACAGAAATGATGGAGATGGAGAGGGGAAAGAAAGATACCTCATCAGAAGGGTCATAGTACTGCTCCAGGTAGGGGTGGGCCAATGCTTCCTCCACGGTTATACGTTTGATGGGGTTAAAGGTCAACATGCGGTCCAATAAATCCAGAGCTGAAATGCAATGGTAGAAGTACATAAAGAAGTTCCACACTTCTATGTTAAATTTATAATTACAAAGGAACTTGTTCACTAGTACCAACATACAACCTACAAATTGTGCACAACTACAGTCATAATAGTCACAGAGAAAAAGCCTACAAGGATGTCTTCCCTGGCAATGTTTTATTTAACATACTTTGACAATTCAGCGAGACAGTCAAAAAAACATTTGTTGACACCCACATTTGTTCAGTACTCCCTCCCACACACACACACACACACACTTGAGACAGCTTACTGCCAGACCCCTCTTACACACATAACATTTCACTAAACATCCTAATGTGCGTGCTTACCTTTGTTGTCTGCTTTGGTGAACAGTTTGCTCCATGGGACTTTCGGTTTCTGGGGTAGAGATTGGAGGTAGTTCCTGGCCTTCATGTTGATGATGCAGTTCAGATCATCTTGAGAGGGGGAGCCCAAAACACCTGATTGATGGGGCAGGAAAATGATCACAAAATGAACAATGTGTTTGCATTACCAAATGGGTCAAATAACAATACAGTGGTCCTCAACTGAAAACCATTGTTTCTACGATCTACTTGGGCTTTTGGGAAAGCAGCCCTGATGGGTCATGGACAGCAAGGAAGAAAATGCTAAAGGATATAATAAAATGCAACTAACCTGTTATTGTGCATAGTTAAGATAAAAAGAAATTAGATTATCCACTTTTTAAGGGAGTAGACCATGATTCTGAATTAGGGCTGCACGATAAATCGCATGCGATATTTAAATAAGTGTATAATTGGAACAGTTCATTGTTGGAGCTGAGCTGAATGAGAGCGAGAGATGCAGAGCGTGTGCAGAGCAGGGGGACCCGAGGAACAGTATTAAGAACCGCTGCTTTAGAACATTGATTTTGAAACTTGTGAATCCATTAGAATCGTTAGAAGACAGAATCGCGATTCATATATGAATAGATTTTTACGTGCACCTCTAGTTTTCTCTTCCTCTTTTCTAAAGCAGCGCAGCATGGCCTCGCCCCCTTTGCTGCCTTTTCCCGAGGGCGGGGTTTATCTGGGTTTGTGATGTCACGAACCCGGGAAGTAACTCATTGTAGTCCATACCAGCCGTTTTTGTAGGCATTAAACTGCCAGAATTTTAAAAGACGATATCTCGGTTTGCATTGATCTTTCAGCTTCGTAACTTTGTAGATATTGTTTATGCTCAAACAGCAACATTACACACTAACTAACGTTAAAAAAGTGAAATCGCAATGAACCACCCCTTTAAATATAATAATAAAATTAATATAAATTGTACTAAATGCATAAAAAAAAAGTCAAAAAGCAAAATATACAAATGTTCACAGTTCAAAAGTTTGGTGTTGGTAAGATTTCTATGAGTCTCTTATGCTCACCAAGGCTGCCTTTATTTTATCAACAACAAAAAAAAGCAAAAACAGTAATATTATGAAGTATTACTGTTAATAATTTGCAGTTTTATTTATTACTGTATTATTACAAATAACAGTTTTCTTTTTGAATATATTTTAAAGTGTAATTTAATCCTGTGATAGTAAATCTGAATTTTCTGCAGCTATTATTCCAGACTTCATTGTCACATGATCCTTCAGAAATCATTTAATAATATCTTTCTAATATGCTGATTATCAATGTCAAAAAGAGTTGTGCTGCTTAATATGTTCCTGTAAACCAGGGAAGTGGCTGATAATGACACTGCACACTGTTTAGCTGATAGTCTATTCTCTTGAGTGTTTCCTGCCCTCACCCTCATACAGTGGGTCACAGTGTCGTAATACAGGACTCAATACAGGACGTAATACAGTGTTTTTTCTTTCGATATTATGCTTCAGGTAGCGCAGATTTGAGAATGAAAGAGAAGTCTGAAAATGGGGACATTCCATTGAGCATTAAGCACTGGTTCTTACCCAATATGTGGTTGAGCTGGTCCAGATAATGCTTCCCAGGGAAGATGGGTCTGTTGGACAACATCTCAGCCAGGATGCAACCCACAGACCAAATATCAATGGATTTGGTGTAGCCCTGAAAGATTAAGACAGAGAATGTCAAAACATGCATCCAGTTAATAGGTTAAATGCTAATGACCTAGACATACCTTGGAGTTGAGCATGATCTCAGGAGCACGATACCAGCGAGTAGCCACATACTCTGTGAGGAATCCGGTGTGGTCATGTTCTGGGTCGGCTATCCGTGCCAGCCCAAAGTCACAGATCTACGGGTGAGGAAGTATAATTATTCTCCACACAACCCTCCAACAAGCGATTTTGCTTTAAAAAGCCCCTCATTTCTATATTTAGCTTCAGTAGGATCATTGATTTAAGATTAAACAAAGCACAAGAACTACACTTCTAAATTTAATCCTGCGTTCCTCAAAATATCTGCACTGAAATAGATCGCTTACAAAATGATTTCCATTTCACATTAGGTTTCATTTTATATTTACTCTTTAATGTCAGGTTATCTGTATTGCGTTACTGTCAATGTACTAAACACATTTTTTTCATATTAAGAATTAGAGTTTTATGTTTGGAGTTTCATTCTTTAGGAAAATATGTGTGACTTTTCTGACCTTGAGGTCACAGGTGGTGTTGATGAGAAGGTTCGAAGGCTTCAAGTCTCTGTGCAGCACATTGGCAGAGTGAATGTATTTCAGCCCTCGCAGGATCTGGTACAGAAAGTAGCAGATATGGTCATTGCTGAGTTGCTGTGTCTTCAGCAATTTGTAAAGGTCGGTCTCCATCAGGTCCTGTACGATATAGCTGAAATGCAGTTAAAGAACTACAGCACAACACTGTGATGATATCAGGGTTTCTGCAGACTTGAACAAGTTAAATTTAAGACTTCCCTTCAGAGATATTCATATAAAACACCCATGACGTGTTTTGATCTTGAAACGTGCAGTGCTCATGTTCAAGTCAAACGCCACAGATAAATCAATTTATGGGTAACACTGGTAATGTATATCGAAATATTGGAAATGTGTTTAAAAATCATATCACCGTTATTGAAAAAAAATTATATCGCGATACATATTGATATTGAATTATTGTCCAGCCCTAGGGTGGTCAGATAAGTTTAAATAGGTTTTTACCTTTCTTTGTTCTGAAGTCTCGAGACAAACAGAGTGAGCCTCAGCGCGAGCTTGTATTCTGTATTCTGCCAACTTACTGCAATTCTCTCTGATGACGCTGTGACTTACTGCGGGGAAGAAAAAATCTTCGGTCTGTCCAATGATTGTAAAGTCATTAGGTCCGTCAGACTGAAGATATTTTAGCGGTAATGAGACCAAAAATAATTAAGACCCATCGAATCCGAATTTAAGACATTTTAAGACTTTTTAAGGCCTTATATTAGGAAAACGTTATTTAAGACATTTTAAGACTTTTTAAGGACCCGCGGACACCCTGGATAGACACACAATCTCCAAAATACAATGGTATGTACAACAATTCATCCTACTGCATTGTGAGCCTGTTGGTGTGCATGTTTAAGGATACACATCCCTCATATATTCGATGCGACGAGCTCTCAGGATGTCATTGATGCCAATGATGTTCTCATGACGGAACCGCAGGAGGATTTTGATCTCCCTCAGGGTGCGCTGGCAGTAGGTCTGGTGTTCAAATGGACTGATCTTCTTAATGGCCACTCGGATCTTATTCACATGATCAAAAGCTGAGCTGCAGGCGGCAGGGAAAGAGATGGTGGGATGAGAGGAGTGAGTATTAAAAAAAATCAACTCATACAAGCTTTAACTCGTGTAGCATCGGCAACAATGTTAAAACAAGTGAACAGAGGTGCTTAAACTTTAGAACAATCCTGAATTTCAACCTAAGGCTATGATAAATATTATATTTATATGAGATGTGTATAAATTGTTTAAATCCCTGCTGTGCTGTGTGTGTTTTAGCTATGTTTTGTGTGTATTTTGCATATGTTAATATTATTATTTTGATTTTTTTAAACTAAAGACAGCCATGTTTTTTAAAAGGGTATGACAGCGTTTTAGTGCCACGTAAAAAAAGATTGAGATTTTTAAAAAGTCTATTCATTCTGGTAATTTTGACTTTTTTTCTCAAAATATTATGACTTTAATATGTAATCTTACATTTACAATTGTTTACTTTACTATTTGATTCATCTTACAATTGTAATCTGACATGTTATTTTTTTTTTACGTGGCACTAACGTGTGGGGGGGGGCATTATTTGTATACATTTGAAACTTTTATAATTTTAAAAATGTACAAATGTTTATCAAAATTAACATTCACATCAATTCAAAACTCGAAAGTTTAAAAAATAATAATAATAATTTTATAATAATTTAAGTAATATTGTATGATTTTAATTGTTAAATACGATAAGAAAATCTCAGATGGGACAGGCCAAAATCCCAATTTTACATATATCTAATGTGTTTAAATTTTTTGTTAAAGTGCACTGCATTTGTGGAAAATGCCTAGTATCTGATTCTTTATATATTTTCTTACTATGCAGCTGTCTGATTGCCCAACCCAAAGATATCCATAGAAGGAAGGCCTTTGTGTTTTATTACAGGGGGTTTGTTTACATCCTCCAGCAAAACCTGACAGTCATTTTGAGGATGGAGGACAGACCAACGCGCACAGTTCTGAATTCTGCACCTTAACTATTTTACCACCATTTAAACACGTCTTACCAGCAGCTGACATCTCAAAAACGGTGGGTACTTATTTCTAGAAAAACCGCAAAAATGTTGGCTAACCCACTTCATGCACATTCGGCCGCATCGTAGCCACGCCTGTTTCACGAGCTCGGAGTGAGATGTCAGATTGCTAGCGGCGGAGCCAACAGCACTAGCATGCAGTTTCACACCACAAAAAAAAAAACAAAGCACACTCCTAAAATCAAGAATGACAAGTGACATTCAACATCCAAACTCATCGAGTGTTCTCCAAAATAACATGGATTCGCGTGCAGCGAGACCCCGGCTGTTTGAACGCTGGCGAGCTGGACAGCAGTTTTAAACGTTCCGAACGCGAATATGATGCCAAAAAATACTCTTCATGTCGACAGAGCGCTATGCTTTCAAACACAGCCAGTGCTGAAGAAATGGGATTTAATCCAATGCATTACTCGCAATCTATTGTTAGCTCTGAGTTTCTGGGAAGGATATGCAAGGAAACTTGTTGAGCGGAAAAAAAAATTCAGTTGCTTTTGAAACGCCGTGTATATATTCTTTCCTCTCTATAAAAAGGGAATGCGGATGGCATAGGCTTTTAGACAATCAACACCCTTTTTCTTTACTACGAAGAGCTGATCAGTACCAGCCCATTCATTCTCGCCCCGATCCAACAGTGACGTTATCTCCAACCAAAGTGTGACTGCAAAAAAAAGTTTCCGCTTACCAGACCATCCCATATGCCCCCTCCCCGATGTACTGGAGATCGGTGTATCGGGGGCCAACGTCAAAATTTTGTCCCTTCACCGACTCCAGGCCAGGCTTGGATCCCGCCGCTCCATTGGCTCCCACGGGCGCGACGGCTCCAGCCCCGGCGGTGCTGCTATTCGAGCCCGCGGCTCCGGCCGCCGCCGCGCTGCTGCCCGATTCCGCCATCGTTTCCGTCCACAAATCAGTCGCCTTCGTGCAGTCTTTGGGAGGAGGAGGGCCTCCTGTTTGTCTTCTGATCAAAGACAGGTTTATCGGATACAAAGGCTGCCGTTATACGGTGCGCTTTCTTGCCAGTCGGTCAAGGCCCCCTGTGGATGCGAGTGCGGAACGAGCGTGCATCTAAACGGATCGTGAGCGCGAACGCGCACTTCTCGTGTACGCCGTTCGCGGGCGCGCGCTGCGCGTGAAAACTCAGCGCAAGCAGACGCAATTACACAGTGCTCGAGCCTCGAGTGGGTGTGCAGAATGAGGCCTCCCTCGGTTACGGTTAGTAGGCCCTCCGGCGTGATTTACAGTTTGTGGTGGGAAAACATAAAGTGAAAGGGAAAAGAGGGTATGTTAAAGTGTGAGATAAACACACGAACTCGTCATATTTTCCATCATCTGAACAGTTACCACTGGAACAAAAACGGGCGTCATATATTATCTCATATATATATTAAAGGTGTTGGATCGTGATATTTTATACTCATTTCCCAATTTGATAGAGGTAAATATAACCATTCTTTAAACGCATTTGAATATTACTTATTATTTGATGCATTTAAACACACGCACACGATCTCAAAATGCATTAATTGTGTCCATTATATTGTGTGTACGATTTTCGTATTGCGCTGTATCATTACAGCGAGTCGCGTGAATTGCGTCACCGAAAAGTTTCACTTCCTGGTTACTGCAGCTCTAGGTTTCATAGATTTGGAATGAAAGCAGTTTCCCGTAACTGGGTTGCATCGGTGCATGTAGCGCTTAGTCTTATTGGGGTTCCGTACGCTGCTGGTACAAGTGGAGTTTGGTATGTAAATGAATGTAATAATTGATATTTATTTAAATTCTTAATCTGTAGTTGTGACACAAGGTTGACAGGTGTATAATCGACAAGTGTTCCTCTACTAAATAATGTACTTTCTCGAAAATTAACCATGGTTTTATTGTAGTGAAAGTGTAGTAACCATGATTTTTTTTTTTTGGTGTATTGTTTACCATTTGTACAATATAACCACAATTTTACTACAAATACCATGGTTAAACTATGGTTAGTGTAGCAAAACCGTGGTAAATTTGTGATTACTATAGGTCTTTTGGTTTTATTTGTGGTAAAACCATGGTTAATATTCATAAGGGATAGTGCTCATTGTTGTTGACTTGTGACTCGTGAGTCTTAAAGGGGTCATATGATGCGATTTCAAGTTTTCCTTTCTCTTTGGAGTGTTACAAGCTGATTGTGCATAGATAAGATCCCTGAAGTTGCAAAGACTAAAGTCTCAAAACCAAAGAGATATTCTTTATCAAAGTTAAGACTCTGCCACGCCCCCCTAAAACGGCTCGTTCTAACACGCCCCCACATATCTACCTCACTATGTGGAAATATTTGCATAATGCCGCCCAAATGTGCACGCAAAGAAAGAAGGCGTGGTTTCAGTAACCGCAGTTAGTGTTGAAGCAGCCATGTCAGGGAGACGCTGTGTGTTTCTAGGCGAAAGCAAAAGCACTTTATTTGGCCTACCGAAAGTAGATGCATTTAGGAATCTTTAAGATTACTTACAACAGAACAGCAATGCATTTTATGGACGACCGTTTCGTGAAACTAGGAGAGGAGGTAATTCTGACTTTACTATGACAATCTGGCGCTTCTGAATAAGCTACTGTTTTGTTATTAGTTTAAGTATTTGCTAATGACTGTTCAAGTGCGGAGTTTTGCGCATCATGTGTGTGTGCGTGTGTGTG